CTCTTCTCCATCTGCGATTGCTTCGGCACAGTGATTCTCGTCTCTCCATCGTTGTGTGCTAAGTTTTGGTTAGCTTTTCATGTCGCGGTGTTATCGTTCCAACGTGATGGTGGTGTTGTCTCAAATTAAAGTCATGTGGCCCCAGTCCATGGCACTTTTGTCTGTGTTGTTAAGGTGCTTGGGGTATTTAGAACCCTACTTTTTTCATGGATAACGGGTTGTTCGTTGTGTCGGTGTAGCTAAATAGGCCCGTTGGTGGTAAACATTGTCTTATATATGTCCTTCTTCTGAGACTCCGTGAGCAAGGTCGATACCTCGAGATATACATGCATGTGTGTCTATATCAAGGCATTGCTCGTTGCCATTGATAATCTCCATTATACACGACAATCTGCTATTACGGCGGTTCGATGTTTTGCTTCTTCACTGGCTTCTATAGATACCATAACAGTTGGAAGTTCTCGATATTGTCCATTCCCGACAAGAGCTATAGTAACACAATGATTCTCGATATTGTCCATTCCATGTTGTTTAGGCCTGATGTGTGAACACATTGTTTTTAAATGTGATTGAATAAAGTTGACTACAGTGATTGTTTTAAAAAAAGGTGGTTGAAACCCTCCACCGCCTCTGCATCCAAGGATGCACACAATCATTTTTATTAAATTATTCAACAAAGTGACAAAATATATACATGGATCAATCCAAAACCGCCTTTCTAGTGACATCTGCCGCTACACTTACAAGGGAGCTGAGAACACCAACCGATTTAGCAGATGATTGAAAAAGGGTAACTCTTACCATACTGAAAAAGAACATCACTATGCTTAAACAATCTTAAGTAAACTTTTTCTCAGCAGTTTGCTCTTAATAAACAATCTTAGGTAAACCTTTTCTCACCTGTTGGCTCTAACCTTTCTCGAAAGAGCAGCTAGGCAGTAATCTGAAAACAAAATTACAATACCTTCAAGCTTACGCTCCATTTCAGCCTCATCATCCACTGAAATTAATCCCACACCAAACCAATCACCGAGGCTCATAAATCTTCCCTGCCTTGTCATATTCCCTTCTTCTGAGACTCCTTGAGCAAGGTCGACACCCTAGTCGAAAGATATAGACATGGATGTGTGTCATGTCTATATCAAGGCGTCGACCCCGTTGATATGCTCATTGTGATCGCTAATCTCCATTGTATGCAACAATCTTCGATTACGGTGGTTCAATGAGATTTGCTTCTAGATGCCATAATGATTGAAATTTCTCGATTCCATGTAGTTTAGGCCTGATGCGTGAACACATTGTTTTTGGAAAAATATGGTTGAATAAAAGAATGTGACCACAGGGATCATGTGACGTAGATGATTGAAAAACAGTAACTTCTATCATAAACAAAAAGACCTCCACCATGCTTAAACAATTTTAAGTAAACTTTTTCTCACCTGTTTGCTCTTAAACAATCTTAAGCAGTAAACTTTTTCTCACCTGTTTGCTCTAACCTTTCTCCAAAGACCAGACAACATCTAACCTCAAAAATAAAATCACAACACCTTGAAGCTTACACTACATTATTCCACCCTCATCAGCCACTCAAATTAAACCCCACAGCAAACCAATCACCCACTCCGAGGCCAATAAACCTCCCCTGCCATGCCACTCTCACCGCTCTCCACTCTGTTTTTTTTTTCTTAACGGCTGCCAATAGGCCTGATGCTTGAATACATTATTTTTGGAAAAAGAATGGCCGAATAAAGAATTAGACGATAGAGGTCATGTGACGTAGATGTTGGAAACAGTAACTTCTACATATCATAATGAAACAGAAGTCCACCTTACCTAAACAATCACAAGTAAACTTTTTCTCACCTATTTGCTCCAACCTTTCTCGAGAGAGCAGACAACTTGTACTAGCAAAAATAAAATGGGAGAGGATTCTCGTCTCTCGGTCATTGTTTACTAAGAGCATCTACGGGCGGACTTCTCAAATCCATCTCATACATTTGGGCGGGCCGTCGGGTGACCGATCATGTTTTTTTCGACCCAGACGGATGCCTCAAACGGGCCTCGAATGTCTGGGCTGACCGGCACCTCCCATATTCAACCCAAATATGAGGTGAATATACGGGCGCCCGGGCACGCCCGTCATGTCAGACCCGACCCATGCTGGCCCACCCGACCCCATTTATATTTGTTCCCATCCGCTCTCCGAAGCAAACCCTAACCACTCCACTCCCCTCCTTCACCCGAGCTCATCTTCGGTGGTTTCTGGCTTCTCCGCCATGGCAGGCAGCGGATCGGACTCCGACCAGTCCGGATCCGTCAACTGGGGTGTCATCCCGTGTGGGTTGGAGGAGGCAATGGCAGTCCGCATTGCACTCCGCCGCTCTCGGGAGGACAGCGCCCGACCGACGGACGGATCCGTCCGCCGCGACGCCATAGCGTCGGCTCTCCAGGCACCCGGGTCCTCTCGTGCTGGATCCTCGCAGTCCGGCCCGGAACACCTCTCCTTCCCCATCACCGGTCGGGCAGAATATGAATCCCACCAGGAACGGGTGGCCCGCCCTGCGAAGGAGAGGATAAGGGCTGCCGAGGCCCGTATCGTGGCGGAAATTGCGGTGGCAGAGGCGGCTGATGCGGCGGCGCGGGCGGCCCCAGAGGAGGAAATCATCCGCGTCTGCATTGTGAAGAAACGGCATCGGAGGAACACGCGCGCCCTCGCCCGAGAGCAGAATCGGGCGGTCTATGCCATGGCCGGACTGCCGCCGAAAGAGGAGAAGCAGGACATCGACGACGAACAGATCCGGCTCGATCCGTACTGTGTCTTCGACCGGTACTTCCACAAGAAGGACGGCAGGGGCACCGGGAAGGGCAAGGGAAACCGTGGATGAACTCCACCATAGCCAAACATGCCAAATTTTGGCAATCCGATGGCATGTTTAGTGTAGTGTGATGGTGTAGCTGGATGATGCGTGTGCGTCGACGTAGTTGCATGAGTTTGTACAGATTTGAGATATGGTAATTGAGGTGTCCGGATGTGAATTACATTATTTAAGGGGTGCCCGGTCAGTGCTCGCGGACGCGTCCGGGCGTTTGAGGGATCAGATTTGTTAAGTCCAGCTATAGATGCTCTAAATTTATGTTATGGCCTCATCGTTCGGGCGTGATGGTGGTGTTGTCTCAAATTAAAGTCATGTGGCCCCAATCTAGTCTTGGTGGCACTTTGTTTGTGATGTTAGAGCATCTACAACCCCTCTTTTGCCGGAGCTGGCAAAACTTGTTGTAATAAACAGTCGAGAAATTGTCGTATTAAGACCCCATAAGATCAGAACAGCAATCGTCGAAGATGAAAAGTAGCACAATGATTTGAAAATTTTGAGGCATAGCATCTGACATGTAATCTCCATGTTATTTATGCCTCATGCCTGAACACAATATTTTTGGAAAAATATGCTTGAATAAAAGAATTTGACCACAGGGATCACGTGACGTAGAGGATTGAAAAACAGTAACTTCTATCATAAAGAAAAAGACCTCCACCATACTTAAACAATCTTAAGTAGTAAACTTTTTCTCACCTGTTCGCTCTTAATCAATCCTAAGTAAACTTTTTTCTCACCTGTTTGCCCTAACCTTTCTCCAAAGACCAGACAACATCTAACCTCAAAAATAAAATCACAACACCTTGAAGCTTACACTACATTATTTCAGCCTCATCAGCCACTCAAATTAAACCCCACAGCAAACCAATCGCCCACTCCGAGGCCAGTAAACCTCCCCTGTCATGTCACTCTCACTGCTCTCGACTCTGCTTTTTTTCTTAACGGCTGCCACTCTCTTCATCTCTTCTGAGCCGTCCATTATCTCACCTGCCGTCGATTTCTCCTGCCTGCCACGGCCTGCGTCCCTGTCCACCATTTCCTCGCAAGAAAACAAGCCCGGGATCAGAGCTCCGGTCCATGCCAAGAACAAGAAGCTCTCTCTCCTTCCTCCTCCCTCTCTCTCCCTCTTCTGCTTTTGGCGGGGGCTCTGCTCCGCTCACTGCTCACCACCCCACCCAGTACAAAACCACCACCGCTAGCTAGCTTCAGAGACAAAGCAGTAGACCACTACTGACTGGATACAACACTCTCTGCCTCCGTAGCTAGTGAAGCAGAGCTTGCTTGCTCCGAGCTCGAGGTCGCCATGAGAGCCATCGCGGCGGCGAAGGGCCCGCACGGGAACGACCCGATGTCGTCCTCCAGGAGGCACTTCAGGTGGCCGGTTCTTGGCAAGAGCGGCAGCCGTGGCGCCGGCGCGGCCAGCGGGGACGAGGGGTATGTGAGGGGCTCGGAGGCCGAGGAGGAGGAGGAGGAGGACGAGCGCGCCATGGCCTTCTCGTCCGCCTGCCCCTCCTTCCACTCCGAGGACTTCGTGTCCCCTCCCAAGAAGCCGGTGACGGGGACCGCCGCGCCAGCGCAGGAGAAGCAGCAGCAGAGGAGGAAGGTCCGGACGGCGGTGGCGCGGCTGCGGTCGGCGCTGTCGGCGGCCGTGTCGGGGCGGCGGCGGCAGGTGGGGCTCGGCGCGCGGCTCACCGGCACGCTCTACGGCCACCGGCGCGGCCACGTGCACCTGGCGTTCCAGACGGACCCGCGCGCGTGCCCGGCGCTGCTGCTGGAGCTGGCCGCGCCCACGGGGGCCCTGGTGCGCGAGATGGCGTCCGGCCTGGTGCGCATCGCCCTCGAGTGCGAGCGCGCCAAGGCCGCCACCGGGGGCGGCGACGGGGGCGGGAGGAAGCTGGTGGAGGAGACGGTGTGGCGCGCGTACGTGAACGGGAAGAGCTGCGGGTACGCGGTGCGGCGCGAGTGCGGGGCCGCGGACTGGCGCGTGCTCCGCGCGCTGGAGCCGGTGTCGATGGGCGCCGGGGTGATCCCCGCGGCGAGCTGCGGCGGCGGGGAGGGCGACGTGATGTACATGCGCGCCCGGTTCGAGCGGGTGGTGGGGTCCCGCGACTCGGAGGCCTTCTACATGATGAACCCCGACAGCAGCAGCTCCGGCTCCGGCATCAATGGCGGGCCCGAGCTCAGCGTCTACCTCCTCAGAGTCTGATCGGCCGGCACGGCAGGTGGATGGTCGTCGGTCAACTAGCGTTTCTTTCGGCTTTGTGCATTCGGTTGGTGGAAACGGGTTAGGCTTCAGGGGGCGTTTACGCTCGTTGGAAGCGTAAACGGGGGTGGGAACCAAATACTACGTTTTGTTGTTTAGCAAGCAGGGGAGTCATTTGCTAGTGTTGGGTGTAATGATTCTGTAGATTGAGACGAATAGTTTGGATGGACTCCGGACAACTGAACTGGAGTGGTAGTAGCTCTACCAGTAGTACCACGCATGTTGCGATCATCAATAAAATAGTATTATCATTCGGGTATCTTGTAGTTTTGTCCTTCATTTTGTATCTTTGGGCCTCTTTGATTCAAATATTTTATTAGGAACTCCGAATTTCTTATATGTTTCATAAAATCTCTATGGTTTTTCCTTGATGCAATCAAAATCAAAATTCAATAAGATTCAAATGGACATGACATTCAAACCCTTCAAATGGATTCAAGGGCGTTTTCGGGATGCTAGTCCTTTAGGACACGTGCATGAACACGTCTTGGCTAGTTTATTGACAAGGTCAAACCGACTTTGATAGAGGGGCGGCGCATCGGTGGTGGTTCATTCTGACGACCATAGTGGCTGTTTGGTGATCCATTGTCTTCATGTAAAAAGATTATCATAACTGTGAACCCTCGAGAGGTCAAATTTGTCTATTATGATTGTAAATGCCCTTGTTCATATACCATCGGCCGGCTGTCAGGGGTGCAGAATGTGAAAACACGTCACGTTGTGGACTGATAGACAGGTACTTACGTCCATGCAAAAAAAAAGGAGAGGTACGTACGTACTGGTAGGAACAAGTTTTCTCCACCCTTCTCAAAAGACTCAAATTTTACCACTTTGTGGTGGGCCGCCCTCGCTCTAGCATTCAGCCTTTTCCTTTACTCTCTTTTGCCGCCCCGTTTGTTTACTGTGCGTCCTGTCCATTCGATTACCAATCACCTGCTCATGCATCGCTCAAAAACAAAAACAAAAAAACTGCTCCAAATCATTTGAAAAAAAACAAGGTTAAAAACCCATTTGCAAAAATAGCCAAAACAAAACACACACACAATACGAATATCGGGAGACGGGGAGACCGGGAGAGTGAACCTCTTCGTTCGCTTTCATGAAAACCGCTCCAGTGAGGCGATCGAAGGCGATCTTCTGCCTTCTCTCACCACCAGCGACGCCGTGGGTCCTCTTCCTCTCCGTCTGTCGCTCCAGCCACGGGAGCGGACGCGGACCCTGGCAGTTAGAGCATCTCTAGCCGTTCGACCTCCTAAGGCGCTAAAAAAGGACGGTCTAGGATGCACCGGCGCTAGTTCGGCTCCTGGGGCGACCTAGCTCCCAGTCACACCCCCAGGCGCCGGCCTTAGGACGCGAAAAATTTAAACTTGGTCGTTTTCGCTCACAAAAGGCGTCACAAGTCGGGCGATCGCAAGCCACAGTTCGGCGTACAAAAAATAGAGTGGCAGAAGTTCGCGTGCGCATCACTCGGCGGGCTCTGCCCCAGGCATCGGCAGAGTTGGAGTGCGCGGGCTTGGCGGTGTCGGAGCAGCCTCTGCGCTGGGCGGCGTCGGCGCGGCTTCGGTGGTGCTGGGCGTCGTCACGCGGGCTTGGCGTCGGCGTCGACGTCGACGGCCTTGTCGAAGGAAGCTGGTTCAGGATGAGGCCTTGACCGTCTCGTCGGTGCTCTGGAGCATGTCCGCCCCACCCAGCAGGAAAGCCAGGTTGGTGTTTCTCTTCTTCGCGGCGACGTTCGTCCGGAGCAGATCGAGCTTGACGGCGCTGCTCGACATCAACGCCGACCACCGCGCCTCGGTCTTCTCTTCACGAAGGACGGCCCGGGCCTGCGCGTCGGCGAGGCAGTGCTCGATGGACTCCTGCACTCGAGCGGTGGCCGCGTCGGCGTATTTCCCCTTCTTGGTAACTTTGTTGCCGTCCGGCCGCCCTTCCGATGCGCCAGGAGTCGGCGCGTCCGGCTTGTAGGTCTCCTTGGCCTTGTCGAGGGTGCGCCGGACTTCCGCCCACTTCTCGCACTTGTCAATGCGCTTGTAGACGTGGAGGTACTTGAATTCGGCGTCGCTGTTGCTCCACCGGTACAGGGTGAACATGCGCAACAACTGCGCGGAGGGACAAACAGTTGGCGCGCGTACACGGCGAAGAGAGGCGGGAGGCTGGTGTGGCATACCTGATCCTCGACGCTGGCGCCGCTCTCCGAGCGAGCCGCAGCCTCCTCGGCGACCCCATGCCATTTGTTGCACGCCCCCTGGATACGCCCCCAATGGTTCGCCATCGCCTTGGAGCCGCGCTGCATGTAGACGCCTTTGAAGTAGGGGTCGACGAGCTTGCGCTCGTCGAACTCGGCCTTGATGCGGTCCCAGTACGTGTCGACGCTCTGGTTCGTGCCGGTCGTCGGGTCGAGGCAGATGACTTTACATGCTTCGGCGAGGCATTCCTCCTCCTTGGATGCCCACTTGATGCGCGGCTCGCCTGTCCTGACCCAGGTGCGAGTAGGGCAGCGGGCCACGGCGAAGCGCGAGCGTCGGGGATGAAGCGTAGGCGGGCGGCGAGTAGTTGTATGGAGGGTACTGCACGCCGACGAAGGCGGGTGAGGGCGTGCGCTGGACCGGGTATCCATGGGGGAAGGTGACGTTTGGGTTGAACCCACCGTGCGCGTCACCGTCGGCGTAGCCCGGCGAGGGCGATGCCCATGGTTGCGGAGAGCCGACGCCTTGCTGACCCCAGGGCGCGTACTGGGCGTGGCTTCCAGGTGGATTCATCATCCCCGCGCGAGCCGCCTCGGCTTCGATTTGGTCCGCCGAGGCAGCCGCAGCCGTGCGCGCCGCTTGTCGCGGGCCTTCTTCGCGATGGCCCTGTTCCGCCGGTCGGCGGTGACAGCCTCCCGCCGCTGAACTTCCGCCCTTCACTCGGCGTTTGTCATGCCCGGTGGCTTGGTCGGCGGCGCCCTCAGCTTTCTCTACTTCGGCTGGGCGACGGAGGCGGTCGCGGTTGCCGCCGCGCGGGGGGCGACGTACTTCTTCGGTGGCATGGCGGCCGGCTGGGAGGGAGGCGAGCGGGAGGGAGTTTGGCGGGAGGAGGGAAGACTACGGGAGGGAAATGGGGAAAACGCGGGAAAAAACGGCGGGAACAGGCGCTCGCCTCGCCGACAGGGCGGACCCACGGGCCCTTTTCGCTTGAGACGGCGCCCCAGGCACCCCCCAGGAAGCCGGGTTCGGCCTGAATCCGCCGGCACCAGTTTCGCCCCGAGCCGGCGAAAAACAGGCTTCTGGAGCGCGACTGGGCCGTTTTTTCGACGCCGGCGCGGCAAAATCGCCTGGGAAGGGCCTGTTGGGGGCGCGGCTGGAGATGCTCTTATTCTTCGGTAGGAAGATAGGTTAGGCATAGTTTTCTGTTAGAGATGTTGCATCAATGGTGGAGACGGCGCCGTGTCGGAATAATCTGCTTCTGCTAATTTCTCCATATATGTGACGTTCTAATGGATGGCACCGAGGAGCCGGTGGCTCGGTCTTCTTACCGGTCTTTCAAATCTGATGAGATTTGTGTCCGATGGTTGACGCACAACACTCTCTTGGATGCATTGGCGTTGTCTGTTGTGGTTGTGTTTGGTGTCTTGCAGTGAGGTGTGTGGATGGCGACAAACAGCAGCGTTCCTTTTCTTCGACCGCGTCGGATGAAGTTGACGGCGCTCCGGTGATGAAGAACCCCGGCTGACGTGCCACAAAGTCATTTGCGGCGGTCCGGTTCATTGGCTTGAAAATCATCCTTGTATGCAAAGGTGCCTCTTCAGATTTGGGTATGACGACAACTCATCTCTTTCTTCAGTGTTGCCTTGGCGACTACAGAATACGATGGTGGACGGAGTTTTTGCGCGGCACAAAATTCTGTTGAAGTGAAAACTCTAGTTTTTACTTCTTGTGGAGTCTTTGTTGCAAGACATTCTCATGTGGTGACATTATGTATGTCCCATGTGATCACATTGTGTACACTGTACAAGAATAACGGGACACGCGATCAAAGCTAGGCACCAATGCTTGAGAAACCATGGATCAAGAAACAAAGGCAAAGCATGGAGTACGTCGGTCCTTGAATGGAATGGCATGTGGAGTGGTGGAAGCTGCCGGGGCGAGAGCGGGCTGGTGGTTGCGGGTGACACAAAGACGACACGGGCCGTGGTCCCTGCGCCGAGGGGCACTCGACATGGATGCATGCCTAGCCTAGCCTCTATCCCTACGTACTAGTGCCTATCGCTACTGCCTAGTCGCATTTGGCCATCCCGAGGCAGCACAGCACTGCGCTGCTGCAGGGCAGAAGCCGCCCATCACTCGCCCGGTACCGTCGCACATCGCCCGCACAGTGCATGGCTGCACCTGCAGAATTCCGGGATCCCTATGCGCCAGCCGGCGACAGTGCCAACGGATCCACGCAGCCCAGCAGCAGCAGAAGATAGAAAACGATACGTACAAAGGATCACCATCTGCTTGCTTTGCACGCAGGGACCTCAGCAGGATCGATCCATCCATCCGTCTGAAGTTTTTATGCCGCCGGCCGGTGTGTGTCGCTCGCCGTCACCGGTCACTGGATCGTGTGATCTGGGGCGGTGGGATCCCATCATTACGGCCATCATCACAGTCGACTCACGGCGCTGTTGCGCTTTGCGAGATTGGGAGTGAGGTGCCACCAAAGTGGTAGTACTTGTGATGATGCCATGATGGCGAGGATGATCGATGAGAGGGGTGGATTGGACGATTGCCTCGAAAAATCACGGTGAGATGAGATGCAGCACTGCATCTGCATGTACTGGTGTACTACGTAGTACATACTACTCGTACACTGCATACACTGGTCGTGAGGTAGGTCTCTGTACGTCTCTCTACCAGTCTATTTCTACCGCTGCATGCAGCACGAGGTGATGTGACATGCCGGCCCCTCTGTCGCCCGATCAGCCT